CTATCCCTTCATTCCCTCCTCATCCCTATCCCATCTCCCCATCTCCCCATCTCCCCATCTCCCCATTTCACAAACCACAACCCCAAACCCCAAAAATCATATCCACAGAGAAGCTCGCTCATCCCCTATCCATCCATCTACTAAAAATCTATTGATGCAATAATAAAAAAAAATATAAAAGCACGAGTGAAACGCCTTAATCCCTTCCCTTCCCTTCCCTTCCCTTTTCTTAGCTAGCTAGCGAGCTATTTGCTCAACCCAAAGCCAATGCCTTGCCAAAGCCAAAGCCAAAATCTATACTCTATGCAAAACCCCAAAAACTTAAAAAAAAAAAAAAAAAAAAAACGACCGTTTCTTTCATATAGAATCTTCAACTCATTCATCAAACCAACAATTCAAACAAAGAACGAAGTGAAAAAATTCCTTTTTCACCCATCCATCCATCCATCCATCCATAAATAAATAAATAAATACATACAAAAAAAACGAATAAAAAGGTTGGTATCATATTCTCCCCGAATTCAGTTCCCTAGGAGGAACCTCACCTCTTACATTCTCCCAACCCTTCTCACCAATTCCAATGACCCCCTCCCTTAAAATCGTTAATTGTCTCACGCCACAATATCCTCCCTTTCTGGCTACTCTCTCATAATCAACATAATGTCCCTCTTTCTCCCAGTAAGCCCTAGGTTTCGCTATCGCTCCTTCACTTGGTATCACCTGTCTTTTTGAATGCATGATTCTCGATGGTGGAGAAATTTTTGCACGAGATTTAGGTCCTCCCAACTATAGCTGAAAAATATGATGATGATGCTGATTTTGTTTGAATAGAATTTAAACCTTGCCAGAGTAGAATCTTCAACACCTAAATCCCTCTTTCCTTGACTTTTATTATTCGTAGAATTAGGAGCACTTCCATATTTTCCACCGAAATTCTTTGTAAATCAATCATCGCTTGCTCTTGTTCTGGTGTGAATGAATTGGGAATCCATAATCTATCCTCAACAACATCTCCTTCCTTCTCCAACCTTCTATCATTGAACTTTGGTAGATGTGCGAAATGATTAATAATAGCTTGCCAAGGAACAAATAATCGTTCAAATCTTTTGGCATATTTAATATTATTAAACGATTTCGCATCATATGCTACTCTCACAAAAGGATTCATGAAAATTCCTTCACCCCAATCCTCGTTAGTATTTGTAGTATAATCGGGAAAATCCGGTGTAGCGAGAATATCGGCATGAATGAGACAACATTCAGAAGAATCCCAAAACGATTCAGGTTCGGATCGAAATTTAAGTGGTAGTTCGGCGATCGAGGTTGAATGTTCGTTTGAGTCTTCAGGTTTTTTTTCTTTCAAACTGGAAGAAGTGGTATTGACAAATTCCTTTTGAAAAAATCTACCATCAAAAGCCACAATGCCACCCCAACAACTCTTAACCCTGACTGCATCCTTTCCAGCCAAAACATCATTTCGACTAGTACTGTCTCCTTTTCCTGCAAACCATGGAAAGATTGGTACACCAATACTATAACCCTCGGTATCCCGTGTAGCATAGGTATCATAATATTTCCAACTCGTAATAAAATCAGCACCACAAACAGCTTTATACTCCGCCTTTACCCTCCTCATTAACATTCGTACCCCATAACAACCTCAAT